GATCCATCCTCTTTGGAACCCCCGTTCAGGTAGTTGAAGGCTGCTATCAAATCCCCCCTCATTCTTCTCTTCTGCAGACTAAACAATCCCAGTTCCCTCAGCCTCTCCTCATAACTCATGTGTTCCAGCCCCCAAATCATTTTTGTTGCCCTCCGCTGGACTCTTCCCAGTTTTTCCACATCCTTCTTGTAGTGTGGGCCCAAAACTGGACACAATACTCCAGGTGAGACCTCACCAATGTTGAATAGAGGGGAACGATCATGTCCCTCGATCTGCTGGCAATGCTCCTAATTATACCAGGGCCGCCCAGAGGATTCACGGGGCCTGGGGTCTTCGGTGGCGGGGGGCCCCCACCGCCGAATAGCCGCCGAAGACCCGGCACTTTGGCGGCGGGTCCCGGGGTGGAAGGACCCCCCGCCGCGGGTCTTCGGGGCATTTTGGGGCGGGTCCTGGAGCGGAAGGACCCCCCGCCTCCAAAGTGCCACCAAAGACCCAGAGCGGAAGAAGCGCCAGGGGCCCAGGCCCTGCAAGAGTTTTCCAGGGCCCCCGGAGTGAGTGAAGGACCCCGCTCCAGGGGCCCCGAAAAAATCTCATGGGGATACTGTGGGGCCCGGGGCAAATTGCCCCACTTGCCCCCCCCTCTGGGCAGCCCTGAATTATACAGCCCAAAATGCCGTTAGCCTTCTAGGCAACAAGAGCACACTCTTGGCTCATATCCAGCTTCTCATTCACTGTAACCCCTAGGTCCTTTTCTGCAGAACTGCTACCTAGCCATTCGGTCCCTAGTCTGTAGCGGTGCATGGGATTCTTCCGTCCTAAGTGCAGGACTCTGCACTTGTCCTTGATGAACCTCATCAGGTTTTTTTTGGCTCAATCCTCTAATTTGTCTAGGTCAGTCTGGACCCTATCCCTACCCTCCAGCGTATCTACCTCTCCCCCGCAGCTTAGTGTCATCTGTCATTTGTCTGTCTTCTCTCTTTGTACTGTGAGTGATTCAGGACAGGGACTGTCTCTCGCTGTGTCTGGGCAGCGCCTAGCACAGCGGGGCCCTGATCTCAGCTGGGGCAAGGCATGTCTCTCGCTGTTGATGAAGAGTCGGGAATCTCAGCTCTGCTTATACATAGATTTTTTTAAAAAAAATTAAAGAGCGCAGTCAATTAAAGAATCCTGGCTGTCCCACGGTCCCTCATTCCCAGCTGTGGGGTTCCTCCTTCCCAGGGTAACTGCCCTGCCCGGCTGAGGCCAGCGGTGGTGACGTACACAGGGGCACTGCTGGGCTAGTGGGGGTGCTGAGTACATCAGTGTGTTACCCACTTCACAGCTGCCGTGGGCCCTGAGACAGCCGTGCTGCGAACCGGAGCTGTGCACCACGGGAGGGGTCCTGGCCCTCAGCAGCCAGCCCAGCCTGGGGGGATCCCGGCCCGGCCCTCGGTAGCCAGCCCAGGCTGGGGGGATCCCAGTGGCTGCTCACGCGCTGGCTACGAATCAGAGAGGGGATGGTAAAGGGAGCTCTCACCTGCAGCGGCGCGTCCGCTGTCCTGGCAGGGCGAACGAGCGGACGGCGCCCAGCTCTCTGGTTCCAAAGCTTCTGTTAGGAGAGAAAGTGAGAGTTGGTGTAAGGCCGACAGATCCCAGTTGTCAGCGGGCGGGATCAAACCTGGGGCCTCTGGAGCTTAGTGCATGGGCCTCTACAGCATGAGCTAAAAGCTACATGGCTGTAGGCTAAGGCTATAGAGGAGGTTCATTTTATTTCTCTCTCTAAGTGGTCTCGGTGCAACTCAATGGGCCAGACCACCACACCCAGAAGGTGTGTGTGTTACATTGGCACAAGCCAAGCTGCAGATCAAGCTGCCCGCGGCTGGCATCGCAGGGCTAAAAGGGGAAGTTGTTCTGGCCCTGACCATGTTACCTGGAGTCAGCTGCCTCCAGCTCTGGAGGGTCCTTCTGCTAATGCCCCAAGGGGACGCTCCATACAGAGACCTGCAGCCAACTATCGCTGCTGCTCTAGAGGAGCTGGTTGATTCCTTGCTCTAAGCACCAGCGCCCACTCCCCTCCCAGAGCTGGGGACAGAACCCAGGAGTCCTGGTTCCCAGCCCCGCCCCCAGCAGACCCCACTCCCTTCCCCTCCCGCAGCTGGGGAGGGCACCCCGGGGCTCTGACTCTGACTCGCCGCCTTTCACCTCTCTCCCTGCACTGTCCAGTTCCGTGATGGGAGAAGCCTGGAGCCGCCCTCCACGGAGGCTGGATGGACTCCGAGGGGCACTGGTGGAAGCAATTGCCCTGGGCAAGGCCAGCTGCAGGTGGGGCCCGGGGCCTGGTCGGGGCTCGCTGGCTCCTGGATCTTTCTGCCCCGCGCCACTGAAGAGGAAACCAGGACTTGGAAACCAGCCAGACCCAATTTCCTGGAAACCACGTGGGAAACCCGCCCCTCGGATGCGGGCTCCCTTCGTGGTCCACAGCGTTTGCATCTTCCAGCAGCCTCCTGAGAGCCAAGAGATCCCGCTCTCCTACAAAGGCGAGAGTCCCCGCTCCGGCGTGCGGGGAGCGTCACAGCAAAGGGATCCTCTCCGGAGAGCCCAGGCTGCTGCCCGCGGACCCGAGCTGACCTCTGCCCAGGCGAACGGCCCCTCGGCTTCCCCCCCGCCCAGCAAGCAGGTAACTCGCCCCATCGGCGGAGGCACGAATCGGAGCAGGGGTCGTGCAGTGAGAGCCCCCGGATCGCTTGGCGAACTGGGCTCCTCCAACAACGGGGGTTTCATGCAGCCCCTGGCAAGGTGCCATGTCTAGGGACAAAGAACATCGGTCACCCACAGACTGGGGGCGGGGGTCGCTGTGAGAGGGGGAGCTGCCCCGTCTGTAACCGATGGGGGGCGGGGAGTTCTGCTTTCCAGAGGGGGACCCTGACGAGCTGCAACGTGAGCCCCCCAGGGGATGCTATGGCTAAGTGGGCGACAGCAACCCTGGGCTGGGGAAACGGGTGAATAGCGAGCAGGAGCCGGGAGGTGGGATCCCCTCCGGATAGCGGGAGACTCTGACTGGAAACTGCGCCCAGCTCTGGGGAGGAGGCAAAAAATGAAACTATTCCCAGGTGCCCCTTGAAGCCAGAACAAAGCTGCCCAGCTGCGACCAGCTCCAGGCCTGGTGTTTTGTGCAAATTACTTCATGGGCTAATTTGCAAACAGACAGAAACGGCAGCTTCTGCCCCACAGCTGGGTCCCCCGGGCAGCAGGGGGGAGGGAGCAAGTCATGCAACTGCCGGGAACTGGGCAGCTCCGCGGCTGGGGCAGGAGGTGGCCGGGTAGATGGGGGATGCTGCCGCGCTTCTGGGGTGGATGGATTCGGGGTGCTGGAAGGTGTTGGGGTGCAGGGGGTGGATGCTGGGACAGAGATCGGGGCAATGTGGGGAGATAATGTGGGGGGAGAAGTGGGGGTGTCTGGGGCAGTAGCTGGGACACTGCGGGGGCGAGGGGGATCTCTGGCCATTTAGGGTCTGTTGGGGAGTGGGTCTGAGACTCCCGAGCTTGCTGGGTGGATTCTTCCTCTCCCAGCTGGAGGCTCTGGCTGGCTCCTCGCGGCACTTTCCTCCCGAGACCACGTGGTTTGGTGAGGTGGGAAGCTTTTGGGGGTGGGGGACCCACTGGCCAAGTTCTTCCTCCCTAGAACCTCCGGTGTTTAGGCACAGAACTCCCACGGACTGACGGGAATTAGGCACCTAAAGTCCTTTCAGGATCAGGGCCCTGGAGACATTTTTGATTTAATGGCAGCTGAGTCTCTGCACTGGCTAAGCCTCTAACGCATCTGTCTTCTTCCTCTCCTGGCAGCTCTCTCTCGAATGTCCTGGAGTGATATCCTGTACCCTGGCAACCCAGCGAGGTGGGAGAGGATGGTGCTGTTACACCAGCAGCTGATCGACTGCGTAGAGCTCAATTTTGATGCCATCAACGAGCTGATTGTAGCCTTAAACAGACACTGTCACTGCAAGTTGCAACCCATTAAGATGAACAGGAATGGCACCGTCTGGGAGAACTGTGACGTACTCCTCGCAGCCATACAGTCCATCCAAGACATTCTGCAGGCCATCGACGAAAAGCTGAAGAGAGAACTAGAGCCACTTCTCTACCAAAAGCTTCACAATTTCCAGGAGACAGATGCCACAAAGATGCAGCTTCTGCGCTCTGTGGCCGAGAGGGTGAGCGGCCTCGCTGGGACCGTGGCCATGGGGATCTTCGTCAAACTGGCGTTATCGGAGGTGACAACCACAATCCTGAGCCAAATTATCAAGATCATGGGCAAGCTCGGTGCCTCCGTGATCGGTTGCGCAGCTGGTGTGTTACTGGGCGTGAGTATCGACTTGATTCTCAGCGCAATCCTGGGCGCCGTAGAGAGAGACAAACTGGAGGAGGAGATTCGGGAGCTCGAGAAGCTGGTGAGCAAGTTGAAGCCAGCCTCTCAGGAGTATTACAAAACCATCATAAAGGTCACCTGCATGCTGCCATAGCCGGAGGAGAATCAGCCGTTCAGATGACTCCAGACCAAGCTGCAAGTTACCATTACTTGTAAAAATAATGCCGTGGGGATCAGCTCCCATCTAGCATGACTTAGCCCAGCGCCATTAAAGCCAGCACAATAAATGATCTCTAGCTCTTACACAGTGTTTTTCATCAGCAGAGCTCAAAGCGCTTCAGGCTTCATTAATGTCTTTATCCTCCCACCACATCTTGGGACAGGGCAGGGCTATTACCCCCATTCTACAGATGGGGAAACTGAAGCCTGGAAATTCAAAGGCATTTAAGCACTTAACTTCCGTTGATTTCAGAGCAATTGGCTCAGGCTCTCCGCAGACTCAGGCAACATCACAGATGTCAAGGGAAGCTAGGTGCCTCAAGTAACTTGCCCCAGCCCATACAAGAAGTCACTAGTCACAGACTAGTCACAGCCCATACAAGAAGTCACAGACTAGTGCCCAACAACCACTGGGCCATCCTTCCCCTCTAACTGGTGTTTTTCATCTGTAGATCTCAAAGTGCCTCAGAAAGGTCAGTATCAATACCCCGACTGTACACGGGGAAATTGAGTCACAGAAAGGGACTCAGCCAGAAGGCCAGGAATAGCGCCGGGAATAAGAACATCAAATTAATTCATTTAGACTTTTCCCTGCCAAAACCGACACGTCCCCCCTGAAACATTTTAATTTTGACAAAACGGCCTTTTCCAACAGAAAACTGTTCTATCAAAAGCTTTCCGACCAACTCTGTGCCCGGCCCAGGCCGGAGAACCTACCTCAGGGTTTTCTGTTCCAGCCCAGATCTGGGAGTTGAGCTAGAGCGGAGCTCAAAGACAGTAACTTCCCCAACTGTTGCTAGGATCTGTCAGGTGTTTAAATTCAGGGCCTATTGCCTGAAACTGAGATGAGATAGCAGGAGGGATTCTGGGACGATGGTTAGCTGAGACACTCCGGCCTAGGGAACCAGATGGAAAATGTTACTGTCTTAAAGGGCAGTAAACCCATTCTAGAGCAGGGGTCTCCAACTGTTTTTGGGTGGGCCCCACTTTGAAAATATTTCAGGCTGTGACAACCCCACTCCCATCCCCACAAAGTGACAGCAAATCACTGGACATACTCAGAGGCAAGGCCGTCCTTAGGCATAAATACATGTGGCTGCATGGGGCACCTGAAAATTTGGGGCACCACCCTCGCTGGCTGCGGCGCAGGCTCCTCTCTGGCCACTCCCCCCACATTGGGCCGGCAGGCTTCTCCCCGACCGGATGCCCTGGCCCCTCCCCTCTGCCCACTCACTCCTCAGCTGGCCTGCGGGCTCTGGCTCGGGAAGGGCCTCACGGGGCCAGGAGCGAAAATTTGCATGTAAGTGAGCAGGGGGAGCCGGACAAGGCTGGAACAGAGCGTGGGGGAGTACCTGGAGGCGTGGGAAGAGGGGGGGGGAGGCTGGGGAGGAACCGGGCTGGGAAGGGAATAGAGCAGGGTGGGGGGTGTCTTTGTCTGGCTCAGTGAGTGAGCAGCGCACACGCTAGGGCCTCCTGGGGAGCAGGCTGGTGGCCCCGGGGGAGAGCAGCTGTTCTAGCCCCACACTGTACCTGTGTAACACTGACAGACCCTGGTCGTCGGTGGGCGGGATCAAACCTGGGACCTCTGGATCTTAGTGCATGAGCTTCTACCGCATGAGCTAAAAGATAACTGGATATTAACTAAGACTGTGGGAAGGAGACTCATTTTATCTCTCTCTAAGTGGTCTCAGACACTCATTTTACCCGATGCACAATGCCACTAGATGGGACAGAACACCACACCCACAAGGTGTGTGGATTATACCTGCACCTCTCCCCTCTTCTGCCCACATGCCCTGCCCCACCGTCAACTCCCTGCAATCTCTCTCCTAGTCTCCTTTTCACTCCACCGCCCTCCTCTCTGAAGTTTAAGCCCAGACACCAAGGTCCAGAAGATCCCCTTTGGATCGTCACCTTTTCCTCTCAGGGGCGCACACACAACCAGGCTGAGGAGGAGGGGAAGTTAAAGGAAAATAAAAGGTGGTGGTTGCTTTTTCTGCCCATTCACAATATTCAGGTGTCAACAGGAGGAACAGATGTATCTGAAGAAGTGGGTTTTTACCCATGAAAGCTTATGACCAAATAAATCTGTTCATCTTTACAATGCCACTTCTTGTTGTTTTTGTGGCTGCAGACTAACATGTCTACCCCCGATACTTAACAGGAGGAACCTGACACTAAAATAAAAGGAGGAGGGGGATGTACCTGGAGCAGAAAAGCAGCAATCAGGGCTGCAGAATGCAAGGGAGGGAGCAACCTCTTAGCTGGGGAGGAAGATGGACTTGCACTTGACAAGGCTGGAGTAGCTGAAAACTTTTATTTAGGGAAAAGAGACATGATTTTTTTCTTCTGGATACAAGTATCTCCAGGGCTGTCTCTTAAATGAGGGAGAGTTCTAAACAGAACTGAGTGGGATTTTAAAGGTTCCTTCAAGAATGCAGCACCCGTGGGAAAGACCTTTAAAACTAGGATTTCCCCGGACATGTCTGGCTTTTTGGTACTCAAATCCCTGTCCAGGGGGAATTGCCAAAAAGCCGGACATGTCTGGGGAAATAGGGAGGCAACATAAGCCAGGGTCCGCCCGGCCCCAGCACGACCTGCTGGGTCCGCAGCGCAGCCCAGCCGCCCAGCTACATTGTAGCGAGCTCGGGGGGGGCGCAGCCGCAGAAGGCAGCGAAGGGGCCGCTGCTGCCCCCGGAGGCTGGGCAGACTGCGTGCCCCAGCCGAGCCCGCAGGACCACGGGGAGGCCGGGCCCAGCCAACGGCTCAGGCTTCCCTCGTGGGTGGGGACTCCCCAGCCACTGGGGGACCCTTCCTGCGGCCCCGTCACCCCGCACGGCAGGAAGGAGGCTGCAGCGCGGGCAGGGAGTGCGGCATGTGCCGGGGCTGCAGGGACCTGCGCTGCCCCGGTCGCCGCTGAGCATCCGAAGCCCACGCCAGGCAGAGGCTGCCGGGGGAGCAGGGCAGGTGGGGGGGTGCAGAGGCTGCAGGGCGAGGAGGAGCAGCGCAGGCAGGGGCATAGAGGCTGCAGGAGCAGGGGGGAGCAGGGGGCACAGAGGCT